AGTGACCACACAGCCTCAAGCTCTAAGTGGCCAGACCCCTCTCCCAGTCCAGAGCCTCTCCCCACACTTTGCAGTTCCCAGCTGCTCACCACATCCAGCTGCAGGGTGCTGCTTGGCCAGTCTCTAGCTTCTTGCGTTGCTTCTCTGTTCCTTTTGGCTCTCTGAGCACTGCCAGTCTGCTGCTCAACACAGGGTCTGCGCTCCTTGAGCTGTGTGTGTCAGGCTCAGCTGCTGCAAAAACTGCCCCTCAGCACACAGCTTGCACTCCTTGGGCTGTGTCTCAGCTCTCTGTTTGCTCAGAGAGAGCCAGAACAATCCCAGCCCACAAGGAGGACGGGGCCTGGCCTCTCCCCTTCCTCACTGGCCTGTCCAACCTGTCAATCAGGCTGAGCTGGAGTGTTGGCTGCTTTCCATTGTCTCTGGGGTCTGTCAGTCTCATGAACCCTTCCCCTTCTAAAACTGGGAGCTGGCAAACCAAAAAACTCCCCCAGAGTTTTAGTAAGGGGTAACAGTCCCCTTACACATAGCTGAGCCTGACCCTGGGAGGAGGGGGGAGCCTGTACCATGTCTTTCCCCACCCCCTCCAATTTGGGGCCAGTCCCCCGCACGCACTAACCCACCAGTGGAGATGGAGGAGAGTCGGGCTGGGGGCGGAAGGGAAGGCTCCGGCTGCCAGTGGTGGGCGGACGAGGAGCAGGAGAGCCAAGGGATGACAGGGGAAGCAGAGGGGGACTAAATTGGCACCACCCCTAGCATGGCGCCTGCAGCAACTGCCCCTCCCAGTCTCCCCCTCGTTACGCCACTGCATTCCAGGTCATATTTCAGACATTCTCCCAAATACACACTTAGAGCTAATTCTTAATAACTGAACTAAAATGTATCAATACAAAGAAAAGAGAGTGCTGGTTAAAGATCAGTATACATACAGACATGAGTCCAGTTCTTGAGACTCAGACACACACAGATGGTGCGTCTGTCATTGCAGAAGTTCTCTTAAACTTTAGGCCACAGTTATAGTCCAAAATCCGTATCTAGGGTGATTCCAGCCAATGCCTGGGACCTCAATCCTTGTGGCTTCGGTTTCCCCCGTATGAAACCTCAAGCAGATTGTGAGACCATATGTCAATGTCCCTTCCAAAAGGGGCACCAAGGTATCCGGGGATCTTATTTCGTATGGCTGGTAGCTTTCCCCAGGAGCATCCAAGCAGATATGAGAGAAAAAGGATCCTGATTGTTATTCTGTCCCTCTCTCTCGGCTGTATCAGTCCCTTACAGATGTGGAACCGCAAAGCTTTCCCACAGTGACCACACATTCCTTATGCAAAAGTTCTCCTTTCTTTTGGAGGGCCGGCCGACATGCCTCCGCTGCACATGAATTTCAGCGATTTCTGGGAAGCTGTCATCTCCGGTAAGTCGGTCGGGAATGATGGATGGATTTTTTTTATTCCTCTCATTGGGAGATTACACATCCCTGGGGAAGCATGTGACTTTCTAGGAGTTGAAAGTACCCTTGAAATCTGAACGCATTTAACTAAATGCAAATATGAAATTCATTGACATGAAAGGAAGACTTGGCTGAGTACAGGGGAGACATGGGAACAAAACATAAAGAGACACGTCAATTATCTCTTCCTCCACTAGCCCTTTCAATGGCAGTGTACTCCAACTGCAGCTGTTTTAAGGGAATATAGCTTTCCCACAAGCTCACTTCTGCCGAGATCGCTTTACACTGCTAGAGCAATGCTGAGTTTGGTAGATCATTTGTTGGGACAGGCAAACCGCTTCAGTCCAAACGGGAACCAGCTCTTGGCCCAGAACTCATGCTGAGTTCGAACTTTTAGGTGGGGAGACCATATTTCCTTATGCTGAATATGGGACCCCAGGTAAAAACACTGAGACTCAAGTGAGCTGCCTGCAGGGGTGGACTAGCCTGGTAGAATACCGGGAATTTCCCGGTGGGCCGTCGTGTCCGCAGGTCGTTGCCCCTCACTCTGAGCAGCTCCATGTCCATGCTGTATGCTGCAAGCAGAGCCCGACCTGCCGCCTGTGCCGGACATGACGCAGGGGGCGGGGCTTGAGGGGCACGCAGTGGTGACATCCTGGGGAGGGCCGTTCTCAACCCATTTCCGGGCCTATTTCGATGGCCAGTGCGCTCCTGGCTCTCTGGCAATCAATTAGAATGATGCAGTCCAGATATTCCAATGCTGAGTTGACGGAGACTCTGTTAAAAAGAAATACTGTGTAGTGCAGCGGTCTCCAACCTTTTTAAGCACGAGATCACTTTTTGAATTTCAGTGCAAACCAAGATCTACCTCACACCCAAATATCCTTGCCCCACCTCCTTTGTGCTCCTTGCCCCGACTCTGCTCACTCCATCCTCCCTGCCTCCCCCATCCTCACTCACTTTCACCAGGGTGGGGCAGAGGGTTGGGTGCAGGTTCTGGTCTTAAGCTAAGGGATTTAGAGCGTGAGGGGCTCTGTGCTGAACTTGGGATGGGCAGTTGGGGTACAGGAGAGGTTTCTAGGTGCTGGCTCTGGGAGGATGTTTGGATGCAGGGAGGTCTACGGCAGGGGCTTGAGGTATAGCAGGCGGTTCATGACTTGGGTAGGGGTTCAGGGTCTGGACTCCAGTTGAGCACTGCTTACCTCAGGTGGCTCCTGGGTGATGGTGTAATGGGGTTAAGACAGGCTCACCCCTGCTTTGGCCCTGTGCACCACTCCCAAAAGCAACCAACACACTTGCTCCATACCTAGTCCTGTTGTGCCCCATCTCTGCTCTGTGGAGATAGGGTATGGGGGGAGAAGGGGGCACCTTGACTTCAGGACCCTCCTCTCCCTCCCCTGCCCTGCACAGCAAGCAGGAGACTCCTGGGGGAACAGCTCCAGGCAAAGGGCTGGAGCTGTGCAGCAGTCGGGAGGGGAAGCTGAAGTGCTGGCACTTGATAGTCTCTTGGCCAGACCAGTCAGGATCACCCGTCAGAGGTTCCGATATCTACCAGTTGATCCCGATCTACTGGTTGGTGACCACTGGTGTAGTCGGATTCCTTTAATTTACCTTCTTTTTATTAGGGCTTACATGGGGAGGGGTGACAGTGACACCTCTACCTCCACCACCCGCACACAGGGAGAGGCGAGCGCAAACACGCACAGACACACACTCCCATACTCCTCTGTCACCCATGTGGGTAACCAACCACTCAACCTCCTTGCACTGTTCTCTCTGCCCTCCATGCCTGGTTGGCTCCCAGGAGAGATCCGCACCTCTTGGTACCTGAAGCCGCATCTTCCCAAGGCAATATGTAGTGTGGCATGTGAAGTCCCATACTGCCCCACATCCCCATGTCTGCCAGGATTCACCCCAGAATACGGCCAGCAGCAGCTGTTCCGCATTGTGTGGGAGGGAAAGAACAAGAGTCTTTGCAGGGACCATCTCTTCTCCTCCTCCTTCCCCAAGCCACCATGGCTGGAAGCAGCTTTTCCCTTCGTACCCTCACAGTGTCAAAAGGCAGCTAATACCGCCAGGCTGCTGCAGGTCACCGATGTAACCCAGCTGCCCTGTGTCCCCTGGCTACAGCGCAGGCAGGAACAGGCTGTGCCCCAGGACTGGAGGAACCTGGCCAGAGAGATTAGGATAACAGACTCTTCAAAGGGAATTATTAATATCCTGCTAACAAATGTATCCCGGTTCCATTTATAAAATTCCATTCTTAAAAACTGGTCCGTCATTCATGAGGTGACACAGCCTCACTTTGGTGGACAATTTCATTCATAAAAAAGGTGGTCTTGTTACAGCAATTTCCGTGCAGGTGTCCAGAGCCATACAGAGGAGGCTCCCGCCCCCTACATCTCTGGAATTTCAAGTGAAGCCAAGAATGGACGTGAAAACAAATATTGACCAAAGGCAGTTCTTGCGTTCCCACTCTAGGCAAAACCAGGGCTCCCCAGCGTTCTGAAAATTCAAAGTGACAAACAGCTAACAAGCAAGAGGCTAAATGGAGAAAAGTCTCTTCTCCTTCAGTTCACGCCCCTTATTAAGACCAACTCCTGCCAAAGCCACCCTTTATTGCTGGTGGGAAGGCAGACACGGAGAACTGCCATTTAAAAAAAAAAATCACACCCACTTAACTATCAGCATTTAAAGTCGTGTTTCTCCAAGCAGGCCACTGCCTCTTTGGGAATGCTGCTAGCAGGCCTGGACCACTCTGTTTACCTAATGGGTCTATAGCCACGGAGCCTCACGGCTCCCAATGGCTCCGGTTCACCATTTCTTTCTTGGTGTTTGGATGTCGTTCTTGTGTATCTTTCTTGGTTGTTCTTCCTGCAGTCCCATATTCAGCTAGATCAATATGTGGATCTACAGGAAAAATATTATAACCCATTATATAATAACTAGCCTTCCCTGGCCAGCTCACCTGACACATTCATCTCCGCGTACCGCAGAGCAACACTCTTAGATTATGATGTCGCTCCATGTCTGGCGTAGCTATGGGGAGTCACTCTCATTAATTTTTTCATCGAGACTTAGGGCCTGATTTTCAAGTGCTCAGCACAGATTTCCAAGGGAGCTCATTCATGGCCAGACCCTCACACAGAGCTAGGCACTCAGTGTGCTGAGACTGTTAGAAAAATCTTGTCTGTTATTTCAGTGCCTGAATGGAAGCCAAGTTCTTTTGACAGTCTGGCCCATAAGAAGTTCTGTAATTGGCTTGTGTCTTGCTGTTCTCTACTTCACTTTTTGTGGCGAGTGGACAGTAACATTTATCTCCCTGGTCAAGCACCTAGAATGCCCTGGATAAAAGACACCCGTGAAGCATTATTATAACCTTACCACATGATTGTTCTTGCTATGTGCTTATCCCATTGACAGGGAATTACATTTACAGGGGATCTTACTGCAAGTTATTTTTACTCAGTAGGAGAATAAAGCCCCCTAAAAATAGATCCATTGTTAGGTCACAGGATGTTTCTGGCAAATTCCGTACACAATCCAGTCACCGCAGCCTTCCATGTGGCAAAGGTCCTTGATTTCTTCCAAGGTTTGTTTATTGATAATAAGACAGAACACCAAGCTTTAAACAGGAAACAACAACCCAATAACAAGCCTTCTGATATTGATATGATTTGATTTTGTGACTCCCTTGTCTCCCTTTAAGGGAGTTTTGCCAGGGATTACACTAGGAATACAACCAAACATTTTAAAGGTGATAACATCAGTTATAAGTAGATACCAAAATTGGGAGTTTTCTGCTGGAGGCTCATCACTGAATTGTCCATTCATGGCCCCTTGCAACCTAGAACACAAACATTCTTTATCCCGATCTCTAGTTGGGTTTCATTAGAACCAACACCCATGGTCTCCAGGAACCTGAAATGGAGGAAGGTTCACTTATTTTATCACTGTATAAACAAACTCAAGTCCTACCAGAGGCAGAGGTAACAGCTAGTTCAAAGCATAACAGCCGAAGACATGCCTGTCCCACCAAAAGCATTCTACTCTCACCCAAAAAATTGATACCCAGAAGGTAATTCAAGAGAATGCTACTATTTCTAAAGCAGTTGTAGCACATTACCTGTGCCAGTCACTAACCATAACTATGGACCATATAGTAGGCTGCCCACATGTGCATTTTGCTGTGACTGGGTTTGTATGCACAGACTAAAGTGACCGTACAGCCCAAGAGATTGTGGTTTAATATTTTATTCCTTTGCTAATGAAATCTGAGCATGGCCCAGAAGGAAATACTCAGTCTCAAGTACCAGATGGGGGAAGTTAGCTAAACCGCCTAGTGTATGAAGTACCAAGCACTGACAGCAATGCACGTAGGGGATTCTGGCAGAATTACTGGGCCAGATCCCTAGCTGGTTGAAGAGGGCACAGTGCTATAGAAGTCAATAGAGCTTTAATCTGATTTAAGTCAGCTCAGGACCTGGCCTATGAAAAGCCAGTGGCTCACAATCCTCCTCCAGAGACAATATGGCCGCCCCACTCATCTTCCTACCGCCACTCGCGGCGCTGGAGGAGTTATGGTGACCTCACACTTCATCTGTGTCACAGAAGAGAGCCGCCCACATGGTGCTGGATTTCTTACAGTGTTTTTACCTTTCTTCAGTTTTTTGGAGGAGGGATTTTGCTGCTTCAGGGTCGCTCCTCAGAAAGGTTTGATACATGGACATAGAGTGCAAAAACCCGATCACCTCAGCCACGGACATGGGGATTTTGTCTATGATCTGGGTAACTCTGCAGGAGAGGGAAGGAACCGGAACATTTCAGAAGTAAGCAGAGAGGGTAATGGAGCTGTGCTGATTGACACTAGCTGAGAACTTGGCCCATGTTGATTATTACGATGTTAGGCCTGAACTTTCCCCTTTTTGGGCATTTGGTTATGGGGAAACCTCTGTCATTTGATGAAGAGGCCACAAAGATGCACCACACAGACCAGGGACTGGAGATATGTCTGAAGGAGGTTGGACTCCTTGCAAGCCTTAAACACTATTAAGAGCATAAGATCGGCCACACCAAAGGCCCATCTAGCCGAGTATCCCATCTTCCCACAGTGGCCAATGCCAGATGCCCCAGGGGGAGGGAACAGAACAGGAAATCATCACATGATCCCTCTCCTGTTTTCCTTTTCCAGCCCCTGACAAACAGAGGCGAGGGACACCATCCCTGCCCATCCCGGCTAATGGCCATTGATGGAGCCATCCTCCATGAATGTATCTTGCTCCTTTTTGAATCTTCTGCAGTCTCCAGTCTCGGATAACCCCAATGAACGCTCACTGAAGTGCCCAACATAACTGGATTCATGCACCCCGCATGTCAGAGATTACATAATACTCAGTTTTCTCCTTATCTCCTCACCTCCGCTTGTCCTGGAAAGGCAACAAGTCAAACACCTCTTTGTAGTCCCCAATGACACGATTTACTTTTTCATTTGCATATTTTAAAAGCACGCCCTGGGTCTGTAAATTCAGAACAGAAACAGCAACAAATTCTAAGTATAGCCTTGAGCCTCCACTTCGTCTGAGCTACACTCCCTGACTCAGGACTGTCTGGTCTGAGGGCAAGGAGGAGCTACAGAAGAGAACAATGGACTAGTACAGACTCTTCAGACTTTCCTTATGCACCATATTCACAGAGCGTTTATAAAGGGGCTACATTTGAAGAAATGGATTTTGTGCTTAATGGTCATTCCCCCCTTATCTTTGTAATAAACAAAATAATGGAGTGTCCTTCTGCTGAGGGACAAAGCAGTGCTGTTTTATGGCGAATTCAATGAAAAACTGCCCTCTTTCAAAATGGCCGAGATAACTTCTTCCCTAGTTCTGAAGGGACTCACGCCATAAGGCTGACCTTGGAGAAGATGCTTTCTATTAAACTGAACGCTGCCGATTTCAGAATGAAGGCACCTGAGGGAAGACGGGACCCCCTGTGCTTGGTTGTCAGGAATGTGATAACCACGTGATTGGAGACCATCTCTGTTGAGGCACCTGGTAGCCTTGCTCACACTGAGAACCAGGAGAGATGGATACCTTCTCAAAATGGCCACTAGACTGGGTAACAATATGGAGCTGGGGGGCAGGGGGAGAAGAGGGAGACAGAAATCTAACATGTCTTTAGTATCTGCTTAATCTAAAGAGATGCTAGAATAGAAATTTTTACTCAAAAGATTGAGGTCTGCCAAAGATATAAACAGCAGAAAATACGGTCTTCGACTAGATAGTGGCCGGCACTCTTAGAATACATATAGCCTTGTGCAGATACAAAATTTGTATCCTTGTCCATATCCACAAAAAAGAGCCGCTGATATCCATGGATTTGCAGGGCTCTAAACATTTACAATATACTTCATACTGCATGAAAAATAAAATAGCATAAATATAAAAAGGACACTTTTCTTCTCTCACCTCCGTTAAGATTTCTGTGAGTCTTTCCGAGCAGTCTTTGTAGTGCATGCTGAAGTTGGGAGAGTAGGTGCTAAGGGCCACAGAGCCGTGTGGTCTGAGAACTCGATCCACTTCTTTCATGAACCGCGGGATGTCAAACCAGTGGGCGGCTGTAAAAGCCGTAACGAGGTCCACAGAGCCGTCCTCAAATGGCAGCTCCTCTGCAGGGCACACACTGGAGTGGGGAACAAGGGAGACAGCTTAGAGGGGAACAAAGACTCTGCGGAGAGGAAACGCGCTGTTGAAAATCTGACATTTAACATTTTTGTTCCCTTGGAACGGAAGAGAGGTTTGGCCTAAGAGCGTCAGCCCAGGTCGGCCAAACTGGAGCTCACAATAGAGAAAGCCTCCCTGTGTGTCACACTCACCGGTAGGACACGTTTGGGAAGGAGGCCGTTTCTTTGGCTGCCTGGATCTGGGCCTCGCTGATGTCCGTTCCCACCACCTCCTCAAAACGAGCTGCAAGGATGCAAGTGCTTTGTCCTGACCCGCAGCCCACGTCCACCGCCAGCCGCATGGGCGCCAATTTCTGAGGAGAAAACAGACACATCTGAGCACACGGTGCCCAAATTCTTCTGGCGGGCCAAGTCGGAGTCCTCTTTGCACCCTGATATCCTTACACAATCCTAATCCCAGAGCATAGAGTAATTTCTGTGATACCCTCTTGGTTTCACTGCCATGGGGTTCTAGTCTCAGCCTACAACCTGACTGTGTCACTCACCTTTTCTTCCAGGTAGGAGAAGATGACCTTTTGGAGATTTTCAGGAGGAGAGAATCTGTATTTCTGATAGGAAACTGCGTTGTATTGTGTATCACACGAACGCATGGCCATGTTTCAGCACTCCGGCGCCTACAGGGAGTAAGCAAAGTCACTTGGGTGCCTGAGAGCAAAGTCCACGGACTGTGTAAATGTAACACTTCTTATACGATCAGTGGTAACAGGGCTGGCCCTAGGGAAAACACTCCTATCGCCTGCACCTCTCTTCTGAGTCCCTGACCCTTACACTCCACCCCCCGCATCCACGTGGGAAGACTGGCCCACCTGGATGCCCAAAGCAGCTGGCATTGCTGCTCACTCCCATGCTGGATGGCTGCTCCTTCGCCCCAAGGAGATCGTGGGTGCACAAGGAATGGGAGGAGAGCACAGCTGCTGCTGTCTCAGCACGGCCCAGCTGGGGAAGTGACTTGAAAGCAGGAAGCCTTGGTGTTGTGTGATGGGGGGAAGAGAGAGAGGAGAGAGCGTGCACACCGGAGTATACGAGTGCTCTGTCTCTTTAAGAGAGCACTCCGGGGCAGGAGTCCCAAAGATATTTCTAGCTCATAAAAGAACACTGCCCTTATGATCCGTGGTATAGCTGGGTAATGCCAAGCCACTGCACCAACCGCTAGCTATGTAGAAAAATACCTGCCGAAGAAAGAAACCGGCACATTGTGCAAAATGATCAGAACAATGTCCACACCAGGAGAGCCAATCGCTTCCTGTCTGCTATTTACATCCAGTGTGGATAGCCCGCAGCACAAGGCACAGAAATAGACTCAGTGTAGCCTCTCTCTTCTGGGTCATTCAGCTTTCCTCCCCATGATGTGGTATGAATAAATTTAGCAAGAGCCAGGTCTCCTTCAGGGATGATGCGCCTCTTGAGCTGCCAGAAATGTCTCCTTGTGGTAGAGGCATTGTGCTGGGTTTGATACCCCTGGAGAAGTCTCCTCCTGCCAAAAGGGTGCTAGCCATAGCTGCCAACCCAGAAATCTTGCGATATCTGGGTACACCCAAGCACTGTGAAACAGCATTTATCCAAACAGCTTGTCTCTGCTATGCATCCTGTCCTATTTTTCTGGAAGGGGATTTCCGGGTAGGTTATTTGCCTCCACATCAGATTTCTTTGGGCAATATCACAACTTTGAAGGTCAGCTCACTCTACAACCCACTGGTGTGGATGACATGCAGCCTTGCAGAGGGATGAGGGGTTGGTATCACAATAAGTCAGAGAGATGCAGTGAATTATAACCATTTATAGGAGGTAAAAGTTAATGCTGAGCCCCTTGGATAGCCAGCATTGAAAAACATTTTCAGGGATTTGTTTTTCCAACTCCAAATCATGCATTTCTTTCAGAGAGAGCGCGCACGCAAGAGAGAGATGTTTTTCCCACTCCAAATCATGCATTTCTTTCAGAGAGAGAGAGAGAGGAAAATGCAACCTGACACGCCATGCCAGACACAAGATAGCATGATGTGATCAACCACAGGCGAAACGGTAGCAATAAAAAAAAGAAAGGAACCTTGCATAATGTCACTGACACAGAAAGGCTGCCTGCCTAGGAAACGAGAACTCCTTCCATAGTTGATGAATGACGTGACGACATGGGGAACCCGGAAGCTTTGATTTTTCAGTGCCTGGGTCAGCAGAGCTCAATACATTGTTTTAACAACTTGAGCGCAGACAATTCCACTGGCCGACTTTCAGCTGAACAGACAGAACCAATCACATGAATGTTAAGAACTGACCAGTAGACCGGCCGTTTACAGTGTTTCTTTTCTTCTCAGACAGGCAGTGCCGGTTAGATGCAGACATCTCTTTATCAGCACGTGCATCTGGGAAACACAGAGTTTAATCCTGCTGAGTATTTCAGAGAAAAATCAATCTGTTAGCCACAGGACTCCTCGTTGTTTTTGCAGATACAGACTCACTGGGCTTCCCCCTTGGAGACTATATTTGATAGCGTCATTTTGACAAATTCGGAAATGTTCAGTGCAATTGGCATTTGGAACCCTCGACAGAATTAAGTTTTGATGAATGCAAAAGGATACTGTCGGGTAGGTTTGATTGCTATTCCTTTTCTCCTTCTTGGCTGTAGTGGTCCTCCTAAAAATGGGGAACTGAAATGCTTTGCCAGCCAGTAACCACACACTCTATATGGAAAAGTTCTTGTTTCTTTTGGGCACCTGCCCACATGCCACTGCATCACGTGATTTGCCGTGTGTGTATCGTGCCCACCTTAGTGATTTCTGTGAAGTTTTAGTATCAGAGCCCCGCACGGATACAAAATTTGTATCCACATATGCAGGGCTCAACAAACCGTGGCGAGATCTACTTGCTAGCCCCACACTGCACATGCGCCAGACTGGCACTGCGCATGCGTACAGCGCCGGTGAACAGGGCGAACGGAGCGACCGGCTGAAATCTACTCACCACGGGCGAGTAGAAACAGCAATTTGTCGAGCCCTGTGCATATGTATTAGCAAAAATAAGCTGCAGACATCTGGGCACCCGTGAATATAAAACAGATCTGCAAATGTGCAGGATTCTAGATACAAAATTTGTATCCAGACAAACAGAGGCTAGGGCCACCATTCCTGCCCATCCTGACAAATAGCCATTGATGGACCTAACCTCAATTAATTTATCTAGCTCTTTTTTGAACCCCGTTAAAGTCCTGATCTTCACCACCTCCTCTGGCAAGGAGTTCTGCAGGTTGACCGTGCACTGCATGAAGAAAAACGTCCTTTGTTTGTTTTAAATCTGCTACCTATTAATTTCATTTGGTGACCCCTAGTTCTTTTATTATGGGAACAAGTAATTATTCACTTTTTCCACACCAGTCATGATTTTGTAGACTGCTATCATACCTCCCCTTAGTCTCCTCTTTTCTAAGCTGAAAAGTTCAAGTCTTTTTAATCGCTCTTCAATCTCATTTAATCGGCCAAAGTGTGTATTCAATGTTAAACCAACAGGGCCCCAGTCCTGAGGGGTGCTACTTGGAAGATTAAATGCATTCATAATAAACTGCCAGAGAATGTGGTTACTGTAGTTCTGTGTTCATACAGCTCCGGCGGAGCAGGGCTCCTAGGCGCTATGGCTGAACAAATAATAATACTGATAACCACTAGCTGTAAGGATGCTGCTCACGGTAGGGGGTAAGTTTCGGCCTTAGTTTATGTCTGCACTTTGAGCTGGAGCAATAGTCCCAGCCTGGAGACAGACCAGGGCTAGCTCCAATCGAGGTAGTGTGCTGAAAATAAAGTATCGGCAGCGGCACGCGCCGTGGCAGGGCCTAGCTGCCTGGTGAGCCTGCCCGTTGCCATGGCAACACTATTGTTGGCGAGCTAGTTCACCCGTCATAGGTTTGCCTCCTCGAGCTGGGAAGGACAGCCCCAGCTCAAAGTGGAGACACCCCGACAGTGGCAAATGCAGAACGGTGCGCGTCGGACCATGGAACATCCACCTGAAAGAAAGAATGGTAATCCAAGACTTCCCTGTGGAATGCATTTAATAACTGAATCTCCTGCCCTCCCCCCCCCCAAAATGAAGTGGAGTGGGAGGGTCCAATCAATAGAAAACCCTCTGGAAGCAACAGAGGTTGGTCACATAAGAAATACTGCCTCCTTCACCTGGTCTGTCTAATACACTGGGACCCACACAGCAGCAAAAGTTTGCCTATTCTTCAAGCTCTGTCAGCATCTACCGGTTCCTTCTTCGATTTATAGGGAACTTGCTCCCTCTACTGCCCAATGAAGGTGGAGCAATGGGTACTCGTGTAAGACAACAAGGGCTTCACCACACATTAATACACTGTTACAGGGATTGCAACTGGCTGAGGGGTTGTCATACCAGCTCATCGGTTAGCCTGGTCCAGTCTGCTGCCTTCAGAAATGGCCAGTGCCCAAAGCTTCAGAGAAGAGAGGAACACAGGCCGTAGTGATCCTACTCAGCTGCACTATCCTGTGTTGCATGGTGCCCAGTATGGGTCCTCCTTGGGCAGACACGGACTCCTGGTCGCAAAGCACGATCATGCTGAGTTTGGCGCACTCCGCGGGCATGTGACATAGGTGCCCGCAGCTGCATAAGGTGCCAGGCAATGGGCAGTCAGGCCCGCATAGTATGTCCCAAAGCACTGCTGCTGTGGTGAATCGCAGGGCCTCTGTGCTGTGTGGTTGGTTCCAAATGTTCCATCCTTCACTTTTGCCGAGGGTCCCCTTTGTGCTGTACGTGAGGCGGGCGGAGGGATGGAAGGGGCAGATTTTCATTTCAGAATTTTTAAAACCTGGCGTAAAATCACGGAGCTCTGAACGTTTTAGAACCAGATCCTCTGTCACCCAAATCTACCATAGCTTGGCTGGGGTCCGAGTTATACCCGTTTACATGCGAAGTCAGTGAAGGTGCACTGGTTTATACCGGAAGACAGAGCTCAAAAGCATTATGCAGTATGCTTAGGTCCATCTCATCCAGCAAAGTCCCAGTTTAATTTATAAGTCTCATTGAAGTCAAGGGGACTTTAATACGCATTTGCAGGTATGCATGATCTTCAAAGGCTTTGCTAATATGGTAGGACTGCCAAATCAGAACCTTATTACTCGGGTTTACAGAAAGATACAGGACAGTGGAGTACAGTTCCTCTATGTTAGTTTTATTGGATGTTACCCTTTCTACATACTCGCCGGAAGCTCTAATCAGCAAAGGGCTAGCAGGTGTCCTGCCGAATCTCTCCAGAGTTTGACTTTCAAGATGGGCTTCCCAGGGCCAGCCTGACTGGGGCATATATACTTCACTCACCAGTCCTCTCACAACCACCTGTGCATGAGTTCTCTTTCTTTGGGGTGTAGCCCTTCTGCCTGTGTTTGTCACCAGCAATGAGTGTTGGGTTCTGATAGCTGGGAGTCCCTCTTAAAACTGGCAAAACCCCTGGGCGTACGCCTCCACCCACAATTTCTGAGATCACTAAATACCATCCCAGGGTAGCCTCCATGGGCAACAGTTCCCGACCACTTGAAATGGGTCTGCAGATGAAACAAGCAAAAAAATAACATTTGGGGAAAACAGCGTGAACGATTCATCCTCATCTCCACGTATCCCCTTATGGCTGGGCACCTTCACACCATGGTTAAGGTCTCACGTCCCTTCTTCAGTCTCCGAGGACTTGGCCAGAGGCTCCCAGTCTCATTAAAACCCATCCTTGGTATAATGAAAACAAGTGGCAAATTATCCATAACCAGCGTCCCCCAAACATGGTCCGTTGATCACGCCCCATGAGTGTCTGTAAAATCCACCGGCTTCTAATCCAGCAACACAGCACATGCTGCATGCTCCTTTTTGGTCTGCCTCAGCCCATCCCGGCAGCAGGAACCCCCACTGCCTCTCTGCCGGGCGCTCACCCCAGCTAGATACACCGGGGAATTCTGTGCCGGTGCCGTGCAGCAGAGAAACGCCCCCCCCCCCCACACACACACCTCCCCCGCTCTCTTTGCGTTCTGCAGCAGCCATGTTCTGCAAGAAAGCAATGAGACAGCTGAACCCCTCTGCAAGGCAGAGCTTCTGAGTTCCCTCTGCTCACTCTGGTAGGGTGACACCTCCTTAAGCTTCACTTTCCTGGTAAAATTGCTGCATGAGGCTTGCGAGCCACAGTTCAGCTGCTCCTAGTGGACGCAGACAAAGGAGCTCTCCCGTTGGTTCACCCAGAGATAGGAGACAAGAGGGCCTTCCCCTCTAGAGCCACAGGCCAACACATGCTTAACAGTTTCCTGATCCTAGACCAATGGGGCGCCATCCACTCCCCACTGCAGCCAATAGAACGGCTCCCCTTGACTTCAACAGACGTAGGCTTGGGCCCACTGAAAATGACTGAAAATATCAGCCACAAATGAGGGGAAAACTCAAACAATTCCTACAGGGACGTATTTCACAGCAGCTTCACCCTGGTCCCCAAATTCACGCACTCCCAAACTAGCCTGTGCGCACGAAAACTGGGTAACATGCACACGCCCAGTGTGGTCATTCTGGCTGTGCAACAGTGACAATGCAAGTGTGAGACAGTTCTTGAGGACGCAGTGTGCCAGCACAATAGTGTAAAATGGAGAACTGCCCTGGCAAATCAGGCTCCTGGATGCGAGGTGTGTTTACCACACAGCACATATACAACTCATGGGAGAAATGAAAATTGCAAACCCAAGAGACTTTATACAATGATTTTGACTGGCATTCCCATCGCGACTCTGTGTCACGCGTCTGGTCAACCCTAGGGGCCTTGTAGGACGGTGTGTCCCCTGGACGAGTCACAAGGACCCCCCCGTCCTCCGTTTACTCTAGCCCCATGTGCCTCCAGGTGCGAGCTTACACACGCAATCAGGCCAAAACCCTCGGCGCGGCCTTTTGCCGGTGGGGTGTTCTAAGTGTCCGGTCCATGCACGCTCTGGTGCGTAGCTTTAAAGTCTGTCCTGATCAGTTTCTGAGTCCAGGAACTGCAGCCAAGCTAGCCCATCCTCGGCCAAGCCCCACCCAAAAACCCGATAGTCTGGTCTTTGATCGGTAAGTAGGGTAGGGGGGCCTGGGTCCTCCCCCTCAACTGGATCCTGGCCCAGGACCTAAAGGGTAGCATCTCTTTCCACTACCCGGGTGGTGGGGTACCAAAACCGCAAC